ANCTTCTGCAAAATCGGCATCAACGCCTCGGCTTTTAAACGGTTTTCTTGATACAAATTGAGTTCATCCAGTAGATTTTTGGTAAGTTCTTTGAGTCTACCTTTGTCAGTTGGTAGAACCTGTTCCTGTTGCTCCATATCTAATGATTTCACCAAATTTATTGATTGGCAATTACCTATTTCCTCGCCTTTTTTAATTTTAATAGTGTGTTTAGCGGTATTCATTATTCTGACAGGAATAAGATCATTTTTGTTCGCTTCTACCAGGCATTTTCCAATGACCGCGTTCTGTACACTTGTTGTTGAGGTTGGCTCCATCAAATAGAACTGGTGGCCCCAAGGATCGCAATTCAACTTGCCCCATACGATGTTTTCAGATGATTGAGGTAGTTCTAAGTCACAATCGACTGTCACTCGAATGCATTTTTCGTCGCTATCCCCCATTATCACTTTTGTATTTCTCCATCTAAAAATGCGTTTTTCTAAGTCAATTTTGAACCCATATTCTGTCAGAAAGTCGACACCTATTATGCATTCGTCGCTGATATCCGCGACTAAGAATGAACCTTCGAATAACAAGTCGCTTAGCTGAACAGTACGGAGAATCTTTCCATAGACTGGTGCTGTTCCTCCGGTAGCTGTTCGAAAAGTGTATTTGTTAGAAGTCTCTTTCTTCAGATTGTGTACTAAATCAGATCTTAAAATCGATTTTGTTGCTCCGGTGTCGACTGTAATTACGCATTCTCGTTGATCAACTTTTCCGTTCAGCCATAGGTCGTTTCGATTTCAATGTAGTCTGGAAACGTTAATTACGGTACTGGGGGCGTCAATTTTACTAGCCACAAAGTTGGTTCTTATTTGTTTTCCGCCCCTTCGTTAGATCGTGATACAGGACCATCTTCTCTTCTTTTGCGCCATCTTGTCGCGCAATTTCGGCAGTAGTTATCTTTTAGGCGGTGTTTACAATCACGACGTAGATGGCCTTTTTCACCACAAATCCAGCATTGGGGTACACCATGCTGTTGGGGTTTGCGTTTCACAACCACCTTCTGGCAAGAGCATTCTTCATGTACTTGGCGTAGACGTACGTCACTTTTTGATGCTTTCTTTGCCGATTCAAAAGTGAGACTATGCGCAACGGCGTCCTTGTGTTTTCGTTTATCTGACAAGAGAAGGGATTGTTTGAGTTCCGAATCACGAAGGGCTTCGATAAACGTATCCAGGGCAGTTTCGTCTCTATGCTCGGGGTCTGATGTCGGATACGACAGCAATGTCAACCGTTCGATATCTTGTGCCAGCTGCTGAATGGATTCACCAGATCGTTGCGTTCTGTTTCTAAGCTGAGACCGATAAATCTGTTTCATGTGTTTTTCACCATAACGTAAATCCAACGCGCTAACCAGAATTTCATAGTTGAAGTGGTTCTCCGCCGGAATCGTCTGAAGAACCTCTGCTGCTGAACCTCGCAGAGCCAGAATCAGTGCTGTTGCTCGTTCTTTTCCGTTCCAACAGTTACTAGTTGCCGCTGCTTCAAACTGGGTTTTATAAACGTTCCAGGACATCTCTTCTGTTCTTTGATCTGTTTTAACTCCTCTGTCTGTCGTTCGGACTATTGTTTTATTTCAGTTGACATACTAAGCAGAAGTTCCATCATTTTAGCAATTGTAAACGTGCCTGTGCTAATTTCATTGTCTTCGTCAGCGCCATCAAACTTGAATTCGTCTGGGTTCTTACCTTCGTCAATGAGAGCAAATAAAATAAATTTTAAAATGTTGGAAGAGTAAACAAAATCATTAATATAAATATTAAAAAGTAAAGGGCCCAAAATAGAACCTTGAGGAACACCCGATTTAATAGGAGACAACGAAGATATGGAACTACCAATAGAAACAAATTGAGAGCGATCATTTAACTATGAAGAGAACCAATTATAAGCTAAACCACAAATACCAAATGAATATAACTTGTACAATAAAATACTGTGATCTAAAGAGTCAAAAGCCTTGCAAAGATCTATAAAAACCCCAATAGAGTATTTTTTAGATTCAAAGTGCATGAGAAACAAAATTAATAACGTCTGAAACAGCAACTCAGTTGACAACTTTTCACGAAATCCATATTGATTTAAACAAATAATATTATGATAATTTAAAAATTTATTAAGACGATTTAAAATAATTTTTTCAAGTAATTTTGACAAACTAGAAAGAACAGAGATAGGGCAATAATTATTAATAGAATGACGGTCACCAGATTTAAATAAAGGCAACACTTTAGAAATTTTCAGACAATTAGGGAAGTGACCAGTTTTAAAAGATAAATTAACTAAATGAAGCAACGGAAATAAGACACTTTGAAAAATATTTTTAATAAAAAGTTTGAAACAAAATCATTACCACAACTATATTTGTTATCAAAATTTTTTACAACATCAATCATTTCAAATGGCAGACATTCAAACAAAACGAAAGAATTTGAGATACTAGAAGAAAAAAATTTTTTAAAGTTACATTTAGGATCAGATGAATTTGAAACATTTTGATTGTTTAAAGACGAAAAATGATTATTAAAATGATTACATAATAAGAAATCATCATTGATAATTTGATCATTGACAATAATATTAAGAGGTGATGAATGCTTTAACCCTAAACATGATTTAAGAAGTTTCCAGGTTAGTCTACTGTTTGATTTGCATTTAGTGAATTGGTTGTTAAAATAAGAAAATTCGGATAATTTACATAACTTTAGAAAAATGTTTTTATATTTGGTGTATACCAATCTATCCGACGGCGGGCCTGAACTTAGGTAAATTTTATATAATTTATTTTTTGTTACCGATGAAGTAATTAAACCCTTTGTGATCCAAGGCTTTTTTTTAAGAGTTTTTTTCTGAGAGATACTACAGCATTTAATGACAGCATTTTTTATGATGTCAATAAATAATTCAAAAGCTTCATCGGTCTAAGAGCAATTCAAAACTAAACTCCAATCATAATACTTAAGATATAAATTTAGTTTATCAATGTTATAAAAATTATAATTAAAGGAAGGAATATATAAGTTGGGTATATTAATAACAGGGAAATGAAAAGAAGTAAATATAGGAAAGTGGTCTGACATTGAAGAAAAAATAACACCAGATTTATGAAAAGAAATGTTGTTAGTGAAAATGTTGTCTAACAAAGATGAAACACGTAGTAACACGTGTTGCAGTCGTAATCAAAGAATTAAAACCAAAGAAGCTTAAAGAATTGATGAATAGAGTGGATATATGTTTATAATCGTCACAAAATAAGTTAATGTTGAAGTCACCGATAATGTAAATATATTTAAATAAACCAGGATCAATATTTATGAGTAAAGATTTTAAATCATTCAAAAATAAATTAACATCAGTAGAAGGAGGACGATACATAACAATAAACAAATAATTACAGCTAATATTTGAAAACACTTCAACTATTAATAACTCAAAAGTAGGAGAATAAGATAACAAATCATCCCGAACAACATAATTTAAATGACTTTTAATAAATAAACCAACACCACCACCTAGGTTACCTATGCGATTTTAAGATACAAAATTAAAATTAGGCAAATTAATTAAATTAGTGGTCTGATCACATAACCAAGTTTCACTCACAGCTACCAAATCAAAATTACCACCACAATAATCAAGCAAAACATTCAACTCAGTCATTTTGTTAAACATACTTCGAATGTTAATGTGAAAAACAGAAAAAGAATTCGGATTAATAAATGCATAAACCTTATCCGGAGGTAAAAAAGAACACACATTATTTAAATCATTCAACAAATTACTATCAGGATCAACATCATCAAGCCGACCAGGTTTAACTTCATTATTGTCAGGCGCCATCTATCAGATGAAGATAAATTGGCCATTGTTCACCATTTTTCATATTGAGATAAAGTTTATTAGAAACATCATTCTTCGTGTTTGTTGTTGTTTTTGTCATCGGTTTTTTTGGGGTTGAACCTCCATTCTTTGACGATGATATGTTGCAAGATAACGTCCGGATTTTTCATCTTAGCAGCATCGCTACTTTCAACGCATACCCTGAACATCGTAGACTCGCAATCGTCGTTGTTTGGACTTTCATTGGCGGGAGAATCTGTGCGTTTCAGTACTGGAAAACATGAAATGACATTTATATCAATGGATTTTAAATATTCCATAACATCGTTTCTGTGGCACTTTTGAACATTGCTCATTGAAAAAAATGATTTTTTATGAGCATTTTATTAGCTTTAATTTTGCATAATTCGTCATTTTTCTTGTTACCAATTATTTTTCTAACTGGTTTTTCCATCATATTCTCTGTAGCAGATTTTATGATGCTTCCATTATTGACGTTACTTCGTTCAACCATCTCTGGAGTGATGTTTAATCTTGGTCGTTTTTTTGACTGAACAACTGTGAATGGTTGGTCGATATTTTCAGTTGGAGTTCTCGCAACATCTGCCGATAGAGTACTGTTGTTGTTGCTGAAATTGTTGTTGTTGTTAACTCTGTTGTCAATAAAATGCTTTTGTTTAGTTTGCTTAGTTGGTGGGACAATTTCCAGCGTATGATATTCAGGTGCGCTGGTCGGTTTGCTGGCAAGATAGTTTACATTCATATTTTCTAATAGTTTTGCTATGTACAACTCTTGCTTGTACAATATTTCTTTAATTTCCAATTTAATTTTATTGAAATTTACATTTGATATATTATCCATACTGGGAATTTTAGAAAAATTAACACTTACGTAGGTTGGTAGAGATTCCAATAAATTGTTTTTGTTTAATTGCAAGATAATTGTAACAATATCAAGCATTTTGTCCTCTTTTTTATTGCTTTTCGCAGAATTTTTTTCCATGTTTGCAAACTTTTCATTTTTAACAAATTCTAAGTCATTTTTTAAAGTTTTTAATGCAGTAGTAATATCGTCAGAAGTGTAAAAATCAACAACATTTGAAATAAACACATCATTTTGAAGTAAATTTAAGTTATTCATCAAAAAATATAAAACCTCATTCACCGACAAATTACCTTTAGACGTCATTTTTCCAAAGATACATACATACATATATACATACATACATGTACGTGTGTGTGTGTACGTGTGTGTATAAGTGTTTGTGTGCGTGTGTGCGTATGTATTTAAAATATTTAAAATATGCTCTCATTTTTACAATTGTCACTGGTAATCATTACAAGAAAACCATATTTTCTTTTCGATTTCCAGATCATTTCTTTTCATTGATATCATTTCTTTGATTTCTTTGTTTTGATTTGATGAAATAAAAAATGTCAAATGTCAAATACATACATACATACATACATACATACATACGTACATACATACATACGTACATACATACATACGTACATACATACATACGTACATACATACATACATACATACATACATACATACATACATACATACATACAGGCTCAGCTGCCGGTGCGATTTGGTGGGCTGGGGTTGCTTAGCGTGGTTCAGCTGGCTCCCGTTGTTTATAATTCTTCTGCCGCTGCCACTCTCGACCTGCAGTCTTCCCTGCTCCACCGGTTTTTTCGTTGCCGCGATATTCTTCCCCCAGTGTCCGCCCCGGGGGACCGTACGCACGTCTAAATTTTGAACGAAGAATATAAAAAAATCTTTCAAAATTTGTTGTCTTCATGCGGCGACGACTTTTCCACCGCTCGTTTGTTGGCCATGTCCAGCGTTGCCAGCTGTGGGTGGTTGAGATCGTGGCCTAACACTTCTGTGGGCACCGGGCTTGATGACGAGTCTGTGAGATTTGCCATTGGCTTCAGACTTGGCCTGGTCATTCAGAATAAATACACGTGCCGATGTGGCGCTGGGGCGGACGAGTTTGGGCACCACGGTTTGGTTTGTCGCCTGGGTGGGGGCCGTCAACTACGTCACTCAGCGCTAAACGATTACATTTGTCGGCTCTTCTCCAAGGCTTCAATCCCGGTTCTCAAAGAACCATCCGGCATTTCTGCGCATGATGGTAGGCGCCTGGACGGATGCACGCTAATACCTTGGAGAGCCGGCAGATGTTTGGCGTGGGATGTTACGGTCCCTGGCACCCTCGCCGAACGATACGTAAACCTGACAAGTAAAGAATGCGTCGTGGTACTTGTCAGATCGGTTTCGAATCCTGAGTATCAATTCGGTGAGTTACCAGAGCTGTTTTACCTTGGTCATTGTCACCGGTTGAAAACACGTCTGCAAAATCGGCAATCAACGCCTCGGCTTTTAAACGGTCTTCTTGATACAAATTGAGTTCATCCAGTAGATTTTTGGTAAGTTCTTTGAGTCTACCTTTGTCAGTTGGTAGAACCTGTTCCTGTTGCTCTATATCTAATGATTTCACCAAATTTATTGATTGGCAATTACCTATTTCCTCGCCTTTTTTAATTTTAATAGTGTGTTTAGCGGTATTCATTATTCTGACAGGAATAAGATCATTTTTGTTCGCTTCTACCAGGCATTTTCCAATGACCGCGTTCTGTACATTTGTTGTTGAGGTTGGCTCCATCAAATAGAACTGGTGGCCCCAAGGATCGCAATTCAACTTGCCCCATACGATGTTTTCAGATGATTGAGGTAGTTCTAAGTCACAATCGACTGTCACTCGAATGCATTTTTCGTCGCTATCCCCCATTATCACTTTTGTATTTCTCCATCTAAAAATGCGTTTTTCTAAGTCAATTTTGAACCCATATTCTGTCAGAAAGTCGACACCTATTATGCATTCGTCGATGATATCCGCGACTAAGAATGAACCTTCGAATAACAAGTCGCTTAGCTGAACAGTACGGAGAATCTTTCCATAGACTGGTTCTGTTCCTCCGGTAGCTGTTCGAAGGATGTATTTGTTAGAAGTCTCTTTCTTCAGATTGTGTACCAAATCAAATCTTAAAATCGATTTTGTTGCTCCGGTGTCGACTGTAATTAAGCATTCTCGTTGATCAACTTTTCTGTTCAGCCATAGGTCGTTTCGATTTCAATGTAGTCTGGAAACGTTAATTACGGTACTGGGGGCGTCAATTTTACTAGCCACAAAGTTGGCTCTTATTTGTTTTCCGCCTCTTCGTTAGATCGTGATACAGGACCATCTTCTCTTCTTTTGCGCCATCTTGTCGCGCAATTTCGGCAGTAGTTATCTTTTAGGCGGTGTTTACAATCACGACGTAGATGGCCTTTTTCACCACAAATCCATCATTGGGGTACACCATGCTGTTGGGGTTTGCCTTTTCACAACCACCTTCTGGCAAGAGCATTCTTCATGTACTTGGCGTAGACGTACGTCACTTTTTGATGCTTTCTTTGCCGATTCAAAAGTGAGACTATGCGCAACAGTATCCTTGTGTTTTCGGTCCTTGGCCCGATGGACCCCAACACCCTTAAATTTCTTAATGAAATATGCAAAATGATCAGCGTCAGATCAGGCGACAGCAGGGAACTGTTTTTCGCAACTAACCACATTTCGTGCTTGTTGCAGCGGTTCCTGCGTGTCTGTGTGCTTGAAAATATCCAACTGAATGCCGACATGTGCAATTAACGACAAATCAAAGTGTTAATCCATTTGTTACTTGATGTTTGACGGTTCAGTGTCACTCATCATGTTTTGGTTTTAACATACATACATACATAAACTTATTTTAGTTTTTTAAGTTTGTAACCAGTAATCTGGTTCTACCATAATTTAAACATTTTGTATTTTTAGCCTTCTTCAGATGTAAAGTTAGTTTTCGATAATATTTCTGCAACGTTAATAACTAATGTGATGTCAAGTGTAAATTTGGTTCGTATTTTTATATTTTTATATTATCAAAATTGTGTTACATTTTAAGCCACCAAGTATAACAAATTTCCGTTTTTATTAAATATTTTTTAAAATTTGCTTTGTGTTAAGTTTTGTTATATTTATATTAAAACATAAGAAGCATGTTTATGTTTTATGCATAAGATAGAAACATTATTAAACATTTGTCTTGTCGTTCTGACCGGAGTTATCACTTTAAAGATATTAATTAGATGCCTTGCAAATAATAACATATATTCAAAAACGTCCTGTGTTAATAAAACTTTAATAATTTAACATTTCAGTTACCCTCAACATCATCGCGGCCAGTTGAAAAACTATCAACATCTGCTGCTAAATTGGTTTGTATGTTTGACAGGTTATAACATAATATATGTATCAAATAAAATTTATTAAACTTTCTGCAACTCTCAAATACAAATAGTTATCTAAAGAAATTTTTATATGGCTTGCATTTATTGATGCTTTTATTTCAAAAAGCTGAATTGTCGTTTTAAAAATTACTTTATGAAATTTTTGGAATATATACTTGAAATGTAACAGACTGGTATTGATGCTTTGACGCCGAGAAGTTTGAAAAGGAAAGCTAACCAATAAAGTACGACATTGACTAAAACAAGGAAAGTGTTATACGGCTGCGATAGAAGAATAAAGAGATATAAATTAAATGTTCAGGCATTTAAAGAGGAAATTAAAAAACTTAAAGTAATCAATGATGAACTGAACTTAAGATTGGTCGCAAATTCCGGTAAGAAAATTTTATAAATTAGAAATTATTTTTTCACTATACATTTTTGTTGAAATTGATCATTTCCATGTTTGAATTCCAATTACAGATTATCCGGAGAACCTCGAAACCATGAAACCTCGCAAATCGTAGTCAGATGAACAAAAAAGATTTGCATTAACCTTACCTTTGTATAGTGGTAAAGGTTACAAATTTTTAAAATCGCAAGGCTTGCATTTGCCACATAAGCGAACATTATCAAGGTGAGTTATTTACTCAAAATCAAAATGTGTTTCATTTTACAATTATAAAGTGAATTATAAAGTACAATTATCAAATACAAATTTTAATGAATTTTCTTATGTTACATATCAAGGTGGCTGGAGTTAGTAGATGGAGGGCCAGGCCTCTATCGGGCTATGTTAACTTTTCTAGAAAAAAAACGGATGCCAACCAGTTTACATACTGTTCATTGATCCTTGATAACATGTCAATTTGTGAACAACTCATTTATTTGCAACATAAAGGCATGTACACAGGTTATGAGAATTTAGGAGGAGACTTGCATCTGGTGAATTGGCAAAACAAGTCCTGGTATTTATGGTAGTTGGCACATCAGGAAGATGGAAATATCCTATTGCATATTATTTGTTTAGGTATATGACAGCAGCAACGCAACAAATTCTAATGCAAAATGCTCTTGAGGCATTAGAAGAAATTGGAGTGAACGTAAAACTTATTTTGAAAATTATTTTATGATTTCTCAAATTTATGTGTTCATCAATGAAATTTGTTAGTATAAAAAAAGAATTAAATCATAATTGATGCAGATTGTTGCACTGGTGATGGATGGTTTGAGAACAAATGTTGTCATGTGCCAGAAACTTGGCTGCATATTTAATTTACCAAACATCATCAAACCATCTTTCAAACTGCCATCTTCAAATAGAGACATCTTTGTTATATTTGATGCATGCCATATGTTAAAGCTTGTAAGGAACACTTGGGCTGACCTAAGAATTCTCGAGTCACATGGTGGGTTCATTAAATGGGATTATATTTGCCAGGCAATCTGCTCAAGATAAAGCTGGTTTTAAGATGGCTAATAAAATTTCTAAACAACATGTTCATTATAGCAATCAAAAAATAAAAGTTTGTACTAGCTTTTTTTCTTCAACAGTATACTTAACGTCATTAATTTTTGGGTATGAACATCAATAATACAAATACTTATACAAAGATGTTCATTTATCGTCACAAATTTTTTTATTTTATTTGTAGTTTAAAAATTTTTTATTTTCTATTTCTTAGGTAAACTGGCAGCTCAAATATTAAGATCTTCAGTTGCCAAAGCATTAAGATGTTTGAGTAGTTGTCAGGAATTTAAAGATTGCGAGGCAACAGTAAAGTTTATAGAAAATGTGGACAATTTGTTTGACATTATGAACAGCAAAAATATTTACTGCAAATATTTTCGTCAAGGAATAAGTCAAACATCATTTGAAGACATAACAGTTAACCTTAATTCGCTAAAGGAGTATTTGCTATCATTAAGAACTGGTGAAGGAAAATATCTCTATCATACCAATAGGTATATTATATTTGCATTACTTATTGATATTTTATTTTAATATCTGTTACGTATTTTAACACAAAAAATTTGAAAAGAATATGTGCATCCTCGGTTTTGTTGTAAACAGAATCGATAAAAATTTGGCAACATTATTGCTTCCAACCCAAAAATTTATTCTAACGTACAAATTCAGTCAGGATCATCTGGAGTTGTTCTTCAACTTTATCAGAGGTGCAGGTTTGAAAATATGTAAAGTAATTTTTAAAACACTTTAACTTCGTATATTATAATTTGACTTAGGAAAATGCAATGACAATGTACATCAGTTGGAAACCATGTTTAAACGAGTTTATTTCAGATGTGGGATTGTCCCTGGGAAAACAGGTTATTCAAAAATTTAAATTTACATACCTTTTAGAAGATATTTTATGTTTATCATTATCTAATTTTTCAGGCAATGTACAGGAACAATTAATAGAAGATTCTGAATTTAAAATACCCGAAGACAATTTCAACATATTTTTTAAAAAGCTAATTTAAAACTGGAGTTTCTAAATCAAAACACAATGTCAACCATTATCGATAATGCAGTGGCATATATTGCTGGATGGGTGGTTCGAAAAGTAACCCTGATGATAGATTGTAATCAATGCAGGCTAGTACTTGTTGAAACAAAAGGTAGAGTCTCCATGTTTTACCAACAGCTACTTATATTAAAGAACGACGGTGGTTTTTCCTTCCCGTGGTGTCGTCAAGGTTATTAAAATAATTGATTTATCAAAATTTTTGCTTTATGCTTTTTCTATATCATCATTATAAACAGCATACAAGAAAACATATATTACAATTGAATAACTATAGAAACAATGCAATCATTAACAACATTGCCAATAACAAATGGCTACCAATAAACTATTCCTAACATTTAATAAACAGATTTGTCATGTAACAGAAAGGCAATTAAAAATGGAAACCGAGCGACATAAAATGAATACTGAATCGGTAGTTTCAAATGTTTTTAAAAGGTTGGCCAATGAAGATTTATTAAATCTCAAAGAACATATAACAGATACATATAATGGATTAAATAATCATTATTTTTGTTTACTTAGAATTATTGCAAAAACATATATAAATGTACGTTCATTTCATTTCGCAAAACCACAAATCAAACAACAAAGATTCGTTCTAAATTTCATAAGTTAATATATATTTCTAGGGGCAATATAATCATTTATCAATGAAAAGATTTTTCAACCATTTTTAAATTTTGAATTGTTTGATTTACTTGGTAATTCTATTTGTTTCATATATGTATTAAACATTCTTTTGCTATCTATTGGTGAAATCTGTATTTTTTATTTGGTCATTATGTTTTCACAAAACCCGTCACTCCAACATCTTCATTATTTTATATTTCATTTATTTTTTTATCTATGAAATCATTATTTTCAACATATTTTAAATACTTTAACACACTTCAATCATATTTCATTTCTAATTGAGTTTTCACATTTGATTCATTCAATTGAAACAATAATGCATCAACAATTATTTCAATTCTTCATTGTTTTGGAATTTGTTTTTTCATTCAAAACATTTAACAATTGACCTTCAATTTTTTATTCCTGTCATAATTAGTTTTCGAAATTATGCTGACGACAAAAAATTTTTAATATTGTAAATATAAATCAAACCCCATTATTGAAAAATGTTCATTATACCTTTTTATATATTCATCAACTAACAAAATTATTTTCAAGACCTTCTTTACCTAACATGTATGCCTTTATAATTTATATCCAATCATTTTATGTTATCAAATTTTTGATTTCAATTTAAACATGCATTATTTAAATCTCTTTATAATATTCAGTATTTTTTCTGCAAGAGTTTATTATTGCATTCTCATCTGCATTTGTAAATATCTGATCATTAATCTACATCATAATTTTACCGCAGCAATATATCAACTTTTTTCATTCCAGAATGTAAACTTGTCAGTTTTAACCCTTTTCTTACATTATTCGTCAGTTTTAATAATTCAATTTTATCTAATTCATTTTTTCATACAAAATATAACTTTTTTTGAGATAAACTTTAGATAATGTTATATCAATTGGAAGTTTCTATAGAAAAAAGATATCATTTCATTTCATTTACATTTTTTTATGAAATATTTTTAAACATTTGTGTCTCTTTATTGTCAAATTAGTTGCCATTGACTTGATTTTAAATGATTTGCGCTTAAATGTAAAACTATCCTTATTTTAATCGCTAAAAGTAAAGTATTTAAAATACATTTTAAAAAATTTATTTAAATATTACTTATTTTACCGCTGATGAAATGTAGAATTAACAGTTTGCTAAGAACAGTCCATTTCATATCCATTGCATACAATATATAGGCAGATTATTCATTAATTTACTCTGGCTTTTATCAATAACTAGAAATTATTGAAATGGAAAGCAGACATTTTTCCATTTTTTATATATACAATGCAAATTCAAGTGACAACATGAAAGTTTATGAAATTTGGTTCAGCTTCAGATGATTATATACATTCAAAAAAAGGTACTCAAATGTATGATTGTCAGCTATTGTTATTACAGTAATTAAGAGCAGTCATACATTTGGTATACATTCTCATGAATTTACATATCACGTTTATAACAATAATAAAATAAAACGTAAAGACAAATTAATATGAATGAATGATTGTAATTGATTATCAGAATATCCATTGCAGAGCGGAGTGAGGGATAACAGAGCAACTTGTAATTTTGGAAATTAGTATCAAAAAAGCCCAACGCAACTGAAACACACCAGCAACGTTAGCAATCAAACATTACCAACTTATGTTGCTAGTTTTTTATAGCGAAATTCTTATTTGGCTACGGAAGCTATGACGATAATCGAAAATTAGACGATATTCTAAACATAGATAAAAAGCTAAATGTTTTTTAAAATTAATTTTTCATTGACGTTTTTGGTTCTATGGATCAAGATTTTTAGCAAAAATTTATTTTAACCGATGTATGAATATATATATATATACATAAGAGATTTGCCATATCCATTATATATATCCATGAAGACAATACAACAACATTTTTTCTTACCAAAAAAAGTAGAAGGTACAGGCTGATTGTAAAGAGTCTCCGAGTGACTCATCGATCACAGCCACTTCAATAAGACATTAATATCCAATCAGTCGTGATAATTCTTGAAATAATTCACTTTCAAACTGTGCACCACGGTTACAACATAAAGAGGGACAACAAACTGAGCGAACCAGATGTTTAAAAAGGTTGCAGCAACAATTGAAGCCGTTATTCCCGTCATTAGAGGCTTCAATTAAACCATTGTTATATCGACGCAAGTAAACAAAGATCTGCATAGACTTGGGTATGTTTCATTCTGTTGTTTGGTTGGTGGTAATGAACCTACAATATCAATATGAACATTATAATGTATAATTTATCAAAGCGTGCAAATATTAAATTGAACGATGTTTTTGTTGATTTTGTAGGGTCGTAAGGGGCGTTTAGGTTCAATTAATATATCTGATAAGTACATAGGATATAATTTAGATTGAGACTTGTACATAACAAAGTAACCAGAAAAATAAGAGTAGGATCATCAAGAAAAGGCAAAATTTTTTTCATTCTACGTAGGTGAAAGTAAGAACTTCTAGCAACACTATTAATCTGAGAAGAAAGAGACATACTAGAATCAAAGATAAAGACTAGACTACGAAACTTGCGAGAAATATCAAGAGTTTTAGAATCAGGTAAGATAATAGGAAAAATAGTAATTATTTAGATTTATTAAAACAAATTAATTCAAACTTAGAAGGATTAATTTTAAAACACATAAAGTCAGATCAAGCGATAATTGAAAAAAGACATAGAGGTAGATTATGAAGAACACTAGATGAAAGAAAAGAAGTATAAATATAAAAATCATCAGCATATAGTTGACTAAAGAAAGAAAAGTTATTAATAAGACGAGGTAGTTCAGATATATAGAGTATAAATAGAAGAGGGCCAAGGATAGAAACTTGAGGTACCCCGAAAGTAAGAGTAGAGAAGTTAGAAGTAAAATTATTGAGAACAACAGAAAAAAAACGATTACAGAGATAAGAAGAAAACAAAGATAGACAAGAAATCAGTAATATTAAAAGAAAGATCTAGCAGCCTCAAGAGAATAGTATGATCAACAGTATCAAAAGAAGAGGAAAAGTTAAGAGCAAGAAGAAGAGTAAGATTACTATTTACACTAATTTGAGAATGATTGGATAAAATATTGAAGAAAATTCATTAAGTAAATTAGAAGGAAGTAGATCTAGAGAACGACATAGAATTAATAATTTTAGTAAGTTTTAGAAAATTTATTGGAGTAAATACCGAAAATGATTTGGTAATAAGTTTAGTAAAGTTATGAGAAAAAAAAATAGAAATGTTTTTAAAGAAGAAATTTTATTTACAAAAAAGTCATGAAACTGTTGAACAGAAAAGAATGAGTGAGAGGATTTCTTATGAAGAAGTTTAGATAGAGCAGACAACCTATTTTTAGATGTTGAAGCAGATAAGATGCAGATGTCATAAAATTTCTAAAAAAAGAAGAGTGTTTAAAGAATAGTAGATATTTATAATTAATCAATTCAGATTCATAGATAGAATAAAGAGAGTTAGATGGATTTAACCTATAGGCTCTCTCCAGTCTTCTAAAACTTTTCTTGGCTAATACACAAGCATAATCGAACCAAGGAGCCTTACGAGAATAGAGTCTATAAGTAAAAAATTTAAGCTTATCAAGCATAGAAGTAATGTAGATATTAAAACCATAGACAAAATCATCACCATCAGAAAATAAGGTAGTATCAAAAATTGTTTCAGTAAGAGGTTGAAGAAAAATATTTTTATTAAGAGAAGACCAGCATCTTTTAGAAATAGACATAGATGAATAAGAAGGTAGAAAATCTAATGAAAATACGGATTCAACAAGGAGGTGATCAGTATAAGAAACAGAGCTAGCAGAGATATTAATAGACTTAGAAAAAGATGAAGCTATAATAAAATCAATAGTGTTACCAGAAATATGGGTAGGAAAGAACAATATTGTGTTAGGTTAAAAAGAGACAAAATATCATTAAATCTACAAGTGTAAGAACATGATAAGTTATTGAAGTGCAAGTTGAAATCACCAGAGATGTAATAGGAATAGAAAAGGAGTAGAGAGATTCAGCGAGTGAGTAGAATTTATCTAAAAATAAAGTGAGAGAAGAAGGAGGGCGATATATTACAGAAATATAAAAAGATAGAGAAGAAGAATTAAGAGATTTATAAAATAGACAGACACCCCCATAAGACGAATGAGAAGATGATAGAAGATCTTTTGGAGGTCTAGAGAGTTCAAGAAAGCTGTATCCATCAGGAGTAGCAAAAATAAGAGAGGGAGAGTTAGATTCCTCGGGCCAAGTTTCAGTAAGACTAAAAAAAAAATCAGGTAAGGAGGAAAAGATTATTTGATGGATATAGAGCGATTTTTTATTAATTGATCTTATGTTTATATTAAATAGTGAAATTGTAGAGGTAGGATGGATATTGGTACTTTAAAATCTAGTTATATTTAAATTAATAGAATTATTATTCTTATCATTAGTATTTATTACATTAGAGTGTGATTTAATAAAGTTATAATACTTGCTATTAGTATTATTAATATAATTATTGTTACTAATTATATTTATTTCTTTGT